ATTTGAAACAAAAAATTTTAATATGAAATATTATTCTGAAAATTTATTTCTGAATTTTTTACCCACTACACGCTACCTCAAATTAATGAGGGAAAAATTGGTGCGTAAAGCCAAAGGTCCCGGGTTCGATTCCCGGCGGAGGTGTGACAACAACAACACTTTTTCCCTCATTAATTTGAGGTAGCGTGTAGTGGGTAAAAAATTCAGAATTTTCAGAATAGTATTTCATATTAAACTAACTCACTTCTAAAAGATGTCTAAATTCTATGTATGTTTAAAAAATTGTAAAATTTTTCTTCTCCAATTTGACCATTTCAGTTAAAAATTCAAATGTACTTACAGCATTAAGCATGTACTTTTTATCTATATTTATTAATGGATTTCTGCAATGAGTGGAAATAAATCATCTTTCAAATTATTAAGGTACTTGGCAAGATTTCGGCCTACATTGGATGTTGTTTTATTTTATATTTTCCATGCCTCCAGTATCACATAAACAAAAATATTTTCAATAAATAAGATGATCCCGGAAGACATAATGATTCCCACTATTCAACTTGGAAAAAGTCGTTATCAGTTACCCAGTTCCTCGTTTCAATTACAACAAAGATTCACTGATAACAATATAAATATTGCAATAAAATAATCTAATGCCAATTTATTCGTTAAGCTAATCCAAATAAAATATAACAGGATTAATCATCATTGGCGTTAAACCAATTAATTAAAAATTAATTCCAAAGATTAAAGAACTTCATTGTTATAAATTGCACTGTTTCAGATATTTTTTGCTAGTCATTAGAGTACAATGAACTAAAAGATAAAAGAACAATCAACTGCCAATAAATAGCAGTACCCAAGTGTGGTAATATGCACACGGTTTTATTCATTTCTTCTTTGTAGTGTGCTACTATAATGCTTAATGGAGTCTGAAACGAAAGGTAACAGCTAATAGTAAAAGTTATTGCCCCTCTCATCTAGGAAACCTGTTGTAGGTACAAAGCTAGAGGAAACAGGTTGATTTATTAACTGTACTTCGTGTCTAGATAATGGGACCTCCTTATGTAAAACTTCACTAAAGTTCAAAAGTGCGCGGGTAATCTAACGGGACCAGAATGCGCAATAAAGGACTTAATTAGCACCTAATGTATTGTGTTAAATGCGTACATTTCCCACCGAACGGAATACAAATAGTATTAAGTAGATGTTCTCATAAATTTTTCTTTTATTTTTGTTTTATGCGTATAGGCAGTGAACTTCTAAAAGTTATTACCAATCAAATTTCACTACTGCTATAACACTTATTAAAAATCAAACAAGCAAGACAGTAGTTTTATACATTATTTACCCAAGATAAAAATGTTCAGTCTCTCAGTCTCTGAAAGCGAGACTCTAGTCTCCGTCTCTCATCGAGTCTCTCTGGTGTCGCTAAGAGACTGTCAAAAAAACTGTTTAGCGTCTCTGAACGAGAGACTCGAGTCGCTCATAGAGAGATTCTCATTTCGTATCCAGTCTCTGAAAGAGAGACTCGAATCTCTCACTAAGTGGTGTCTTGATAGACATTGTTAAAATTTTCTAAGTTCAACATATTTCAGAGATCCCAGTCTTTCTACGAGAGACTCGAGTCTCTCAATTTTTCAGTTTTATTCATTCAGTCTCTCTGTGAGAGACACGAATCTCTGAATTAACAATTTTATCGTTCGAGTCTCTCATACAGAGATTGTGAGAGATCCATAAAAACACGTAGGCAATAACTGAGAGACTGTGAGAGACGCTCTCAGAGGCGCTGAAAGACTCTGAGGAACCGGGGAGAGACTGAAAATTTTTGTCTAGGGTACACTATGTACACATCATTGTTCCAAATGTACGAAAATGTAGCATGAAAAAATGGACTGACTACAATAAAATAAAAACTTTTGGGTGTTTCATCCACCAGCCAGTAATGCTGGTTGGCGGGCAGTCCCTCCGGACTACGCCGGAAGGCAGGGCGGAAAACCCTCTTCAGTCTCCTTTCAGGAATCGAGGAAATGGGTAGGTGGTTCGGGTGAGAAAGATGAGATGGACGAAATGAAGACAGAAGAGAATGAAAGATTATCTGTGGAATATTACTGCCCCAGCAATTGCCTAAGTAATCCAAGGAAACCACAGAAAAACTTGAACCAAGGCAGGCGGACCCGGAATCGAATCGAGGTCCTCCCGAAGCAATGGTCTAAACCTCTAGCCTATGCCGCTCGGTTGAAGTCAAAAGTGGAGTTGCAATAGAGGGTGGCGAATTTTGAATCATTGGTTAAGAGGAGTGGTAAGAAAGTTGATTAAAAGAAGGAGGTATTCAGAGGACAGGGGTAGCACAGGTAATACAAAAGGCTAATGACATGGCGTGACGAAATTTCCAAATCTACCGTTTCCGACTAAGTACAATAAATAGTCTAAATCTAAATCTTTACAGAGATAGAATTCAAACGACCATAAAATTGAAATAAACTGCATTCGCTAATAATCGGATTATAAAGTAAACAAGAACAAAATTCGTGCTACAAAATCTACCTAGATGTATACCGAGAATAAATAGCATAAATATTTGAAATAGTTTTATGACGTGCAGTTTAATATCTTTAGAAATGCAAACAATAATAGATTGCATCCCATTTCTTATACCTAAATACAATAGCTGCTTCATGAGTTTTGCATGACCTGAACTATGGAAAGTCGGTAAATACGTCATACGAATCTTACAACAACTACAACATCTTATTAGCAAGTCCAAATACCAGTAATCTTCATACTACTTAAGCAGAGATGTGATTTACTTGAAATACGTGTATTTAAAATGCAAAAACAAAATAAAAAATACCTATTTTTGTATTGCATTTAAATACTGTAATAAGGTAATTTATTCATATACCCATCGTTAATATTGTGAGAGAGTTTCTTATATTTTAATATCATTTCTATCCAATTTTGAAACTTTAGATATTCAAAGTTAAAAAAACTTTATGATACAAGTCACAAAAAAATCAACACAAAATCAAGAACAAGACAGGACTCGAATTTTTAATAAGAAAGCCAATATTTGAGAAATATTATATTGCCTCGTTTTGCGTAGTCCTAGTCCATATAGTTTAAATATTATAATAAATGCGTCTAAACTGTTAAATTAGTGTTTCTCTACAAAGGCGTTCTACTACCAAATATGGAATCCTGTTCAATCTTTCATGGAGATAAGTGTAAAGACCAGTAACTAAAAGCTAAGAGCACATTCTCAAAAAATTTCCTGGATGCCTACAATTGGAAATTAAAAAGTACCATACCCGAAAGGCATTAAATTTTTAATCGTTTCTTTCCTTACACAACCACTGCATAACTCCTTCATCTCGTTTTTGATTTAACTACTTAAAGAATACAACAGGTGTAGGTATCATACAAACTCAAACTTCTACGTTTATTTGAATAAAAGGAAAAGCATAGTGAGGGTGGTGTTACCAAATATGTACGACGTTCAAGTTGGTTTTTAAATGAGTATTAACATTTAATAAATTTAAAATAGGTCGTAATACCCTTTGCTGGAGTTAACTGAGACAGTTTCAGTCGTTTTTGCCACCCCTGTTGGTTGATTTTGATTTTTTTAAACTTTTCCTCGAAAAAATCAGCCTGCTTAAATCAAACTGAATCTATAACGCGCTATGTAGGTGATCGGCACGCAAAACCAAATTAATAAAAAATATTAAGTTATTCTTGGTCTTGCTTGTGCAGAGAAAGTTTAATTTGATCGTTGATTATTTATAACTAGTTCTAAATTGCGAACCACGCCTGGTGGTTTCAATACATGCATCAATTCTATACACTAGAACCGAGCATAGGGATATTCTATTTCATAGAATAATCAATTATTTTCCTATGAAAAATACGACGTAGTTTAGAAAGTCCAACAAATGCTTAGGTACGCTTTGTTTTGGGAGATCCACACGCGACATAAAAGAAAAAAATGCTGTCAATGAAGTTTGTAATTTCTATATTCGGTGAACAATTTGCCTTGCCTTGCCTGCATAGCAATAATTCGTACTTGTTTAGGTTTCGTCATTTTATTTTTAAAATTAATTCCACTGATTTTTGTTGAGAAACAAAGAAAAGTAATTATTTAAGAACAAAGAATAAGAAGTTAAACCTAACGTTTTGGTTTTGTTTACATCATTCAATGTGCCCACTCGTGCCCCATACCCACGACAGTCGTCATTGTTAATTACTGATTTAATTGTACGTACAAATTTCACTACTTCACATTTTTTATATTTTCATTAAAAGTACGTGATTAAAACAATAATTTAATGCTTCATTGTATGAACTTTACATAAAAGACAATTAAACTTCTTGAATGATGACAGAAGATATTATTCATAACGTATAGAAATTTCTAGTAGTTAATATTAAATATTAATTTGTAAATTCATTCTCAATTTTTATCCACTGAAAGTTACTTCACATTAATGAGAAAAAATTTTTGGTTGCCGCCGGGAATCGAACCAGGGAAGGTCGGAACCTAGTTCAATTCCCGGCGACGGTATGACAATAGCAACAAACATTTCTTCCTCGTTAATTTAAGGTAAGATAGTGGATAAAAATTTAAAATGGATTTTCAAATAATTCATAACAAATATTGACCATGATATTTATAGCAAATCATGGAAATATTGAAATCCATATCAAGTTATTTCTTTCCTTTTCTGTGGTAATTATATTGTTACCAATTTTTATCTAAACAGTTGAATTAAAGAAGGTAGAAACACGCATTGTAAACGTGTTAGTATTGTTATTTAATCCTTCATGAGATATTTTTTTTATCGGCGTATATAATTTAACTAGTAATTATTGGTATGTTTCCCATTAAATGCTATATATAAATTACATTCTAAAATCCAACGATTGTGTACTTCTAAAACATATTCAATCAGTACCATCGCAAAATTTAAACGGAAAAGTTTTGTTTAATATAAGAAATGACATACCCTTTCCACCAAGGTTGGAAATTTGGTCCGTCAGATCCAAAGAGACCTCCAAAGGAAAACAAGCCGGGGAATTTTCCAAATCCTGGTAAACCGCCGAAAGGATTAAACCCTGTCGGTCCTTCACCTGCATTTACTTCTATAACGCCTCCTTGTAACAAGGACGTGTCGTGATTCGGTGTTTCCTTCGGTTTCTTTTCAGGAATTTCTTCTGCTGTGTTAGGGGAGGGGTCCTTGTAATTTGGTGACAAATCTTCTCTATCTTTGGTAGCCGTTTCAACATCTGACGAAGCTCCCTCTAGGTCTTCGCTGAATGCCTTCGCAGATGGAAAAAATTCATCGTAATGATAATCCACATTTCTGAAAGAAATGGTAACCATTACGATACTGACGTTTACAATGTCAATAAAAAAAATAAGTTTAATCGTAGTATTGAATTCTTCGTATTAAATAGACTTTTAGTAAGTTTTTCTACTGCTTCTTATTTGAAATTCCTTTCCGAAGTTCTGAAATGTTCAATTGCCATTTCTCAAATACGATTGAAATTATCAAGTTGAAACAAATGTAACAATTTTACATAGGAATGATTATTATATCATGTTTGAATCAATCAAAATTACCAAAAAGTTTCGTCAAAATAAGCATAACCCAATCGCTTACGTGGCGCCCCCAGTAACGAAAAGTGAAATAAAAATAGCAATTTTGAAAACAAGGATAACCGAGATAAAAATTCAGTCTTTCAGAGTCTCTAAAAGCGAGGCTGGAGTCTCCGTCTCTCATCGAGTCTCTCTGGTGTCGCTGAGAGAGATTGCCGAGAGACTATCAAAAGATCTGTTTAGCGTCTCTGAATGAAAAACTCGAGTCGCTCATAGAGAGATCCTCATTTCGTATCCGGTCTCTGAACGAGAGACTCGAATCTCTCAATAAGTGGTGTCTCGAATGACATGGTTAATATTTTCTAAGTTCAACATATTTCAAAGATCCCAGTCTTTCTACGAGAGAGTCGAGTCTCTCAATTTTTCAGTTTTATTCATTCAACCTCTCTGTGAGAGACTCGAATCTCTGAATTAACAATTTTATCGTTCGAGTCTCTCATGAGACTGTGAGAGATCCATAAAAACACCTAGGCAATAACAGAGACTGTGAAAGACTGTGAGAGATAATCTCAGAGACGCTGAAAAACTCTGAGAGACTGGAGAGAGACTAAAAATTTTTGTCTAGGGTACTCATCTTTCTATTTGTGCTTTACAAATGTTAAGAAATGCTGTAGATCGGGCCTCAACCGGTTGATTAATTTAAAAAATATATTTATATCCAAATATTAAAAAAAATAAAAGCTCTAAAAGCATTATTTGTAAATGCACATTTTTTTAAAGCATTTTTATAGCACTAGCCCCTAGTGCTTTTAATGTAACCGCAGCACTGTCAAATTTAGGGCTACCTTTGTAGAATAATATGCACTTTTGGATATAGAATTAAATATATCACTACGTATAGGTATCCATCTCGATAGTAAAATTTAATAAAATTCAATGATTGAGATCAATTAATGTAATAATTAATGAGGGGCAAATCGTTTCGGATCTCGTTTTTTTTTGTTTAATTAAATTATCGATCGGAACAGGAAATTGCTGCCCACCTCATTAATACTAAACCAACCAGTCCCATACTCTTTTGTCAGTCACTGCACGAAAACATGAAATCGTGGTCTGTTTTCAGTTAGTAAAATAATAAATTTACCTATTTATGGGAACGTAAAATGCAAATATGTACTCATAAATGTATACATACGTAGGTGCACATTGTTTTCGTAATAATAATTTTACCGATGCGTGCGTGAGAACGTGAGATATTTTTAACATTTCAAAGTGAATATAATACTAATTCTTTGAATGTTCAACGCACTGATATACAAACGGGTGGAAAATTGTTTTAGAAACAATGGAAATGTTGAATCATTTCACATACTTACACCGATTAATATCATCATGTGTTACATTTGAAAGTTGACATTTGAAAGCGGATAATTGCAAGAGAACTTTCTAGATTCTAGAATATAGTTTTAATTTTGACACTTCACACTTATAAGTATGTAGTTTTTCATGTCATAAATCTAAACGTTGTACATTAATGATAGAGTAACTCCCCATGCATAATGAGTTATTATGGCTAAATGTTATTTATAACAATCCTGCTTAATGGTTTAAGGGGAAAATTAATGTTATCCTAAATAATTATAAAATAAGAGAAATATGTTTTAATTTTGGTTTAATTTAAAAATTAGAAAGATATTGTTAAAGGTGTATGTTTGGAAATCAATAAGAAATAGGCGAGATATGCCTTCTGAGACATAAGGAGCTAATTAGTTAGAAACATATTAGAAGCAGAAACAGGAGTTAAGAGGAGTAGAAGTAAACCTAGATTAGATTACCATTCACAAATAGTTAAGGATGTGGGATGTTTCAGTTTTATGGGAATGCGAAGATTAGCTCAGGATAGAAAGGAGTGAAGGTGCGTGTCCACCCAGTCTTAGGAATCTTACATTTTTTTTTTAATTAGTGTTATTCACATTTAATGTAAGCAAAGCAAAAGTGATATTCTAAGAATGCTAACTAAACTGAAAAGTAAAATAACTTCTAGAACTTTTTGATTGAAAACAAAATTATGCGTTTTCCTTGAACGTTTCCCATTTATGTTTTAACTAATATCTCAATTCTGGTACCGTTCGTGCTGGCGATAAGCAAAAATAATGGACAAAAATATTATTGATCGTATTTATTCAATAAATAGTACTTCATTCCCAGTTTACAAAATTAAAATAAAATGAAAATTCGACAACTTGTCAGGGAAAAGCAATTAGCAATTTTAGTTTTAAATTTGCAATCGTGGTTAACTCCTGAATAACGAAATTTAACAACTCATGAGATTGGACTATCATAGAACGGGGCTCATATTAATTAATTTGGAAGCTAATTACGCAAAACTAAAGTTAAAATAATTTATTTCCCTATACAATATTAACACCTTCTCAAAATTTTTAAAGAACAGAAAATTAATTAGATTTATTGACAGTAACGTTAAATTTTTGTAAACATTGCTCAAAATAAAACACTATAACACAAAATTTCACATGAAAATGTTTAAAAAAATCTAAAACGCTTTTTAACACATACGAGACTGTCTCTAATTGGGGATGGTACGTTAGGTTTCGAAACGCATTTTGGATTTTTTATACGTTTTTATTGTTAAATTTTGGGTTTAACTATTAGTGTTTTGATCAATTCATTTAAAAGTACTTTGTTAGTCGCAATTAAATAATTTTGTTAATTAAAAGTTAAAGGTACAGTAATTACGACTACTAGATTTAATTCAAACGCAGTAACTAACATTAGAATAATACAGCCTTTTTGAGAGTTAGTTAAAGTTGCATCTAGGACAACAAAACGTATGTACTTTTCCACTGTATTAATAGGTACCTAAAGTATTTTCTAGAACATGTATCCGATTAGGTACATTTGGTTGTGTAAATTTTTTCACTGTTTTAATGATACTTTGGCCAAAACTTTTCTCTTTTTTCGAAATTCTAAATTAGATTAAGAAAAAAGCAGAACTAATATTGCAATTCAACAGGGTTATTTCCTTGTAAAATGAAAAGGATATTTTTTTGTACATATGTGAAACAGAAATACAGCAGAGTATGAATATCCATGCGATAATAAACGACATTGAAACAAATAGTAGATAAACATTTTTAATTAAAGACGAGCTTTTTTATACATATACATATGTTTGTATATTATATAGTATATTTAAAAACCTGTTTCAAAAACAACGAATTGATACATATTGTGAAGGTATGTATAAATAATGAAAATAATACATATGTAGACTAATTAACGAAAGAAACTTCTAGAGTTTTCACGATGATATTATTATTATTATTAATACCATAGGAACAATTTTTTAGTTTGTATTTAACAACAATGAGGTACAAATATCTATGTAGGCATATATTTATTACCTTAGACCGTGGACGGTCACGAAAAGAAGGCCAAGCAGCAACGCTACTCGATGCATTGTAAATAAAACACTTGCTTGCAACTTTTCACTTGTATTTGTTTATTGTCGCACTGAACAATTTCAAACTGCCGGCATTTTCTGGGTCTCCCTTATATAAACCTCGTCCATCCGTGCGTTGGAAGGAAGGGGCCGGCTTTGTGTGAAGTGCTACAAACATCTTCCCAACAATCGTGAATTATTAGTACCGTTAGTCTAATATTTTCATTATTTACATTTTTATTTGTCACTGTTCAGCAACAATAAACAACAGCAGCAATAATAAAATAAGTTAAAAGATTATCATTTAATTTTCTAGACTTTCTATTACTCATACATACCTTCCATTCGTTTTCCAGAAAAAAAAAGTTAACAGTGACATAGCACGAGGGGGGCAGAGGGTGTCATATTTTTCAGGCGGCGCAAATATAGGGTACCGCAAAAACGTTTTCTTCGTTATTAGGGTCAATGCCACCGCGCAGTTAGGGTTGCCACCCGTACTTTATTACTTTCGACTGTGCGTACGTTATATTTTACAAGACACATAAAGTACGCAAAAATACTTTATTTAAGGCCTTAAGTAAACATCGTAATTTTGTAAGCGATTATTCGAAATTCAGAGTATTTTTACATCAATAATATTGCACAATACAATATTTTTGAGAATGTTTCTATGTTTCTGAACGCTAGTTTCATTGACAGGGAAATTCCATCACAATATTAGATGTATTTAATATTCATCATCATCATAAGGTCATCAGTCCTAAGACTGGTTGGACACGTACCTCCACTCTTTCCTATCCTGAGCTAAACTTCGCATTTCCCAAAATAGAACAGCCCACATCCTTAACTATTTGCGAAGAGTAATCTAATCTAGGTCTACCTCTACCCCTCCTAACTCCCGTTTCTGTCTCTAATATGTCTCTGACTAGACCTTTATGCCTGAGAAGGTGTCCTACCAACCTATCTCGCCTATTTTTTATTGACTTCCATAGCGTCCTCTGTTCTCCTGTTCTTTCTAATACCTCTTCATTTCTAACCTTTTCTACCCACGATATCCCCATCATTCGCCTATAACACCACATTTCGAACGCTTCTAACCTTTTCTTTTCCGCCGCTCCCACTGTCCGTGTTTCGCAAATATAAAAAACAATTTAATTAAAAGAAAAGAAGACTAGTTTTACGGAAAATCGAATCCATAGAACAATCTTCACCTGGAATAAAAGCAATAGTGTGTAAAAACTTCAATTTGTTTATAAAAAAAAGCAGTATGCTATTTGGAAAAATGGTTCAACTACAATGATGACAATTGGTTAGCTCTCATAAGTCATTTTAACTTGATCACCCCTCTGTCCTTTGAAGTGATTCTTAAAATTACTGAAACCATAAATATGGAAACAAAAATTAATTATGATGCACTTTACAATGAAGTGAACCATTTAAATCAAATTCGGGAAAAAATTTGTAACAGCAGCATCACTTTTAAAGAAACATGCACTGCAGAAAAATGGCAAGTCATATTTAGGGAACAACCTGATTTCCTAAATCTGTTCAAAGTAGTGTCACTTTTGTTGTCCGTTCCGGCCACTTCAGCATTTACAGAAAGANAGGTAGAGGTTCTAAAGAACAGTTAGTGATAGACTCAGAAGTACACACACAATGTAGACGGCGAAATAGAAATTTATATTATGCCTATATTGACTATCAAAAAGCCTATGATAGTGTTCCACACTCTTGGTTACTTCATGTACTTAAAATATATAAAATTAATGATAAAATAATTAATTTTCTACAACACATAATGCAAAAATGGAGCACAACACTAAACCTTAAAACAGAAACTGAATACCTCAACAGTCCACAGATAACTATATCACGTGGTATCTTCCAAGGTGATTCATTGAGTCCTCTATGGTTCTGCTTAGCTTTGAATCCATTGTCAAACAATCTTCACAAAAGTAAATACGGCTATGTAATTGATAGGAATAGTTCAACAATATTAAGTCATTTAGTATATATGGACGACATAAAACTATTTGGCGCCTCCAGACAACAGTTAAACAATTTATTGAAAATTACAGAAACATTTAGTACCGATATAAGAATGAAATTTGGACTTGATAAATGTAAAATAAACAGTATTGTAAAAGGAAAACACCAAACGCAACCACCATACAATTTAGAACAAAAAATGGATACAATACAAAGTCTTGATAAACATGAAACTTATAGGTACTTGGGCTATAATCAAAGTCGAAATATAGATCATACTAAAATTAAATCAGAATTAACTAACAAATACACAACTAGGTTAAACAAAATACTTAAAACACTTCTATCAGGTAGAAACAAAGTTAAAGCTATTAACACATATGCCATACCGGTACTCACTTACTCCTTCGGGATAATTCGTTGGTCTGATACTGATTTAGACTCACTTAATAGGCTAACTAGAACTAAGTGCAACAAATACAACATGCACCACATACACTCTGCTGTTGAAAGGTTTACAATCAAAAGACAATTAGGTGGAAGAGGAATAATTGATATTAAAAATCTACATTACAAACAGATTATTAATTTGCGGTCATATTTTAGAGCAAGAAGTGCTGATAGTTCATTACATAATTCAATCTGTGTCATTTCAACCTCTGGTACATCACTAAACCTTAATGATGTAGATTTTAATCCTGAGAACAAAATTATGAAAGAAAAATTAAAAATTGAAATGTGGAAATCAAAAGTGCTTCATGGAAAATACCCGAACCAACAACAGCAGGAACATGTAGATACAGAAGCTTCTAATATGTGGTTAAAAAAAGGAAACATATTCTCAGAAACTGAGGGATTCATGATAGCAATTCAGGACAAAATAATAAAAACAAAAAACTATGAAAAATATATTATTAAAAATCTCACAATTTCATCGGATACATGCCGAGCATGCAACACATCTCGCGAAACAATTGACCATATCACTAGGGGTTGCTCATTTTTAGCCAGCCGACAATACATCAACAGGCATAATAATGTTACTAAACAGATACACTCGCTGTTAGCCAAAAACTTTAAACTCATAAATTAGATAGAGCCGTACTATAAATACAAACCACAAAATGTATTAGAAAACCACTTAGCCAAGCTTTATTGGGATAGTAACATAATTGCAGACAAAACAGTTAATCATAACAGACCTGATATCACACTGACCATCAAAGAAACTAAAAAAAACCCACTTAATAGATGTTGCTGCACCAAACACTGTAAATCTTAAACAAAAACATATTGAGAAAATTCGAAATTATATCTTTTTAGCAGATGAAATAAAAGAAATGTGGAATCAGAACACAGTTCGAATTATTCCAATAATAATATCATCAATAGCCGTTATACCCTAGCCTAGCCGAGTTAAAACTGCATAAGGTTACGTACATAAGTCCACAAAAATCAGTAATCCTTAATACACGCGGAATAGTACGTAACAGTACTGACATATCCCCTTTTTCACAAAACACAACAGGTTAAAATTAAACTAAATTAGAAGCGGAGTTTTTAATAATCACCGATAATATTTCAAGACAAGAAGTACTGTTAGCTCTATAAAATTTAAGAACAGAAAATTGGTTTATTATATCCCAAAAGAAGTGAGTGAGGTTCTTTGGCATTAGCCCGTCTTCACTTGTTCAAAGTTACCAGTGAAAACGGAAAAGACAAGGAAAATTTTAATAATTGTTGTGTGGCTTAAAAAAAACAATTTAAGAAAATTAGTTCTCTTGTTTAAATGGGAAATTATAATTAAACGTGTAAATAATGTCCAGAAAAGCAAAAAGGCATATCCAACAAACGAACCCAAATTTTACTTTTAATTAATTATAACTTCGATAAATGTTTCCTAACAGTTCATCTCCTTAAATTAATTAAGTTTTACATTGAAATTAAAGAGTTTCATATGATATAAGAAAATGTATATTTATTGACAAGGGATATGATATTCCTTTCCAAATTTCTCAGAATTGCTGATTCTTATAATTATTTATTTGTTTCAATACAAATTTTCTAGAAGTTGTATAAAATGATCTTATCTCAAATGTTTTTGACCTTATCATCGCACTCTCGCAATTGTTCTGTGGATGATGGTAGTGACAATTGACCCTTAAGGCCAGTCTATCATCGGATGATATTTATCCATGTTATTGAATTATTATTTTTAAAACGGCTCAACTTTTTGTTGTTATACAGAGCGACGATAGTATTTTTCAATTTACGATTATTATTGTATTTTTGCTTAATGTAGTACTTAATGTAATTTTAGGGATTCCTTTTTATATCTATATACTTACAGCTAATGATGAGCGAATTAAGACTTGGTCTTGGTCTTTTTTTATGAAAACTCAAGAACTTATCCTTCCTCCAACGCATAAATTGACTCTTCCTCCGATGCATAAATTGACCTTTTACCGAAAAAAATACTACAAAATACTTGAAAGAAATAAAAATATCAAAACAAAACTGTCTCTATATTTCATCCATTATTTATCCAGACATAAGAATACTTACTTAGAGGGCATTCTTATAGATCGTTTTTTTTCAAACAGTGGTAAAGTTTCTCTTTTTTTAGATCTAGTGTTAAAGTCTACTAGATTAAATTAATGTTCGCAAATAGTTAAGCATGTGGGCTGTTCTATCGGGTTGTTCGGAAAGTCATTTCGTTTTTTCCCGACAGAGGATTTAATTGTATTCTTTTGCACCCAACTTCACATTTAAGCCGTATAATTTTTATATGCTTTGAGAGCTCATATAGCAAGGCTTGTGTGTGAAAAATTCCAATTAATTCTACGCAGTAGTTTTTGGTTGG